GAACCGGACCGGACAATATACGACTAATACTTCGTTTCATTCATAAACGCAATATTGAAACCTCCACCAACGAGAATGTCCCTCTAAACATACCAAAATGAGATTCCTAAACTTACCAAACTTTTCGGCATTTTAATCAACCATACAAGATGCTTGCACCAACACAGTAAAGTAGAACCAAAATGCAGGGGGGCAGGGGTGCGCATAGAATCACGGACGCAACCAATTTTTTTTTTTATCAAATAAGAGATTACCAATATCAGAACTTTATAGAGAGACGATAAAAATTTCTAAATCCGAATATAGTCTGTTTATCAAGACCGTCGCTCCCCATCAGTTCAAATTACCTTATGATATTGAAATATTTTGCGAATTATTGAATTCTGCAATATAGAATTTGCGAGTCTAAGCACTGGTCTCTTTCATCACGCAGCGAATTTGCGCAGCGCTTGAAATTCAGTCCAGGTAATGGTCTCGGCGTCGTCCTGTTCCAGTTGGGAGCTTAGAGTTTAGTTTAATTAATTGGGGTTTCTCGTCCGCTTTGTGCTCGAACCTGAACCTCTCTCTCCCCGCACTCTCGCTGTTTCTCTCTCTCTCTCTCTCTCTCTCTCTGTTTCCGTCTCTCTCTCTGTCTCTGTCTGTCTCTCTCTCGCTCTCTCCCGCACTCTCTTCTCTCTGTCTCTCCCTTTCTCTTTCTGCCTCTGTGTTTCCATCAATTACTAAGTGGCTATTGGCTTTGATGCAGCCCCGACTAGTTGCAGGGAACCGACACTGAAAGGTCAATCCCTTGCGGACACATTGGCAACCAATTTCGACGCCTACGGCAAATGTTGCCTCCTGTTCGGCGAGACCACCAAGTGCACGAACCGATACCTCAACCCGGCTAAGCCTCTTCGAGGAGCCGATAGACCTGAGTGCTGTTGCCGTAGAAGCCGCGCAACCTCACACGGTTTTTTGAGTGCTTACATAAGGTTTAGGGCCGGGTTAAGGCCTCGAAGTATCGTGCGAAACTGTTTCGAGTTTTGGAGTTGTTGTTTGTAGGGTTATGGGTTTCGGGCTTCGAGCTTAGGAGTTCAGAGCAGTACGCTCAATTCGAGAAAAGACAAGTCTCAGATCAAGCCTCCTGTGTTCGGACGATTCCGGAGCCGAGATGATCGACAAGGCGGAACAATAAGGCACAAGAGGTCGGATACTTAGGGGTCTTGGTAATTTCAATTAGAATAGGGTTTGTATGGAGGAGGGAGGAAATGGGGACTATCAGGAGATACTCTTCTGATTTTTCCGACCCCTATCACTTGAGATTTTTGACGCCAGGCATACGACTCGCTCGGTCGGTTGAGTTTCTCGACTGAACCTACTTGGGAGCAGGTTCGGTGTGGAAGGTTTAGGCCATGACCGCTGAGGCTCGCGGAAGCAAGGGGCGTCAGGCTGAACCCGAGATTCGAAACCCAACAACTTTAGAGTCCTTAAGGGCGCAGCTTGCCGTATCTTCCTGTCATTTACGTTGGGCTGCGAGGCCCGGGAGTGATAGGTTGGAGTCGGAAAGGGTTCAAGTTGAAGCATTGAACGAGTGGCCTTCTGGCGATGGGCATGCAGTCTACAGCATTGCCGTCTGCATTAAGAAACAAATAACTGCATACATACATATATATATATATGTACCTCTCTGTGTGTGTGTGTGTGTGCGTACCTACACGCATACGTATATATGTACAATGTGCACACGTGGTATCATCCAGTGCCTACATAAACTACCAATCTATGACATAAACAATCTACCTGTTCCAAACACGAGGTAAAAAGGAGGTGCGGTTTCAACATGCCGAGTTCAGGCTCTGAACAGGACGACTGCATCAAGCTACTCGACCAGGGCCCACACCCATCCTTCGACAAAGCTTCTTAGTCTTCTCCGAAAATCCTCTCAACCCCTCAACCCCTCGACCCCATGTTCCACAGGCAAGGAAATCCAGGCCTACAAGCATCGTTCCACTGCACTCGGCTCACCTGTAGGCCCGTTGCGATGTTCATATAGGGGCCTCAATGATTAAACACGGTTTCTGAGGGGCAGATATAGATGTACATACTATCAGTATCAAGGGCGACAAGGGGATATAACTGATCGCTGGGTGCAATCGCAGAGAATTAGCGTGCAAACGTGTCAGTTTTTCCGTTTCAGGGCTTGGGCCATGTTGCGTAGGAGGGTGCTGGGAGTTCTTGTAGGGCACGTCGTGGGATCCTCTGCTACGACCAACTGCCGGCATACGATGCTTTTACGGAGACGGCGTGCGCGAGATCCCCTGAGCTCTAGACCGTACACCCAAACTCGGACAAAGCCATCATCCCAACGAGCCATCAGAAACTTTCCAACGAGGTTTGTGCCTTTAGGGTTTAGACAGGTCTCGTTTCAGGGTTTAGGGATGAGACCTCTGGTGTGGGTTGACTGTGGGCTCAGCTAGCTAGCCATGAGTCGACTCCGACAGTACTCGCACTGCTGGTGCTACCAGTAACTGCTGGCATTTTGGCAACAACAGTGACTAATCAGTCCCTACTGCTCGCGCTCTAAGTAATAGCAACACTGCCACCTGGTCATAGACATAGACCTTGTCAAAATTGGGAACCCCGAAACCTCAAACTTCCCAACCGAGCCATTTTGATTCTTAGGGGGGCGAATATAACATCACACCGGAAGGGCATGTCTGGGTTTGGGGACTTCTGTGCTTGACTTCAGAGCCAATGCAGGGGTCAAAAAGTACGGAGGGGGCAGGGAGGGCATGAGGCAGATGGCAAACAGCAAACGCCGCCTCAAGAACACCGGACCTTAAATAGGAAACCACTCACATCCACTCACATTTCCAAAGCCTGCAAGCCTTCAATCCCCGCAAAAAAAATCCTGAACCCCAACCCTGGACCCACTATTGAATAAGATACACGATTGCAACCCGATTCTCCGACAGCAGGCCTTTCCAGTGACCTCCTGGCCTAGTGAACTCCACCACTCTTCCAGTGTTTCACCAACCTCGGCGACTCTCCACTAAAGCCCCAGACCTTGTGATTACAAGCCCCCAAACTTAGCTTCGGGTGTGGGCTTTTGGGGTGTCTTTCAGCTCAAACTAAAGGCTCGAGTCTTGAGGGCTTTCAAGCCCAAGGTGGGGGGTTTTTTGCCTCATGAACATAGGCCTTAATCTCCTGGTTAAAGCCTTAAAGCCGCAGAGCCACGGTTTAGGGTTTAGGGCTTAGGGTTTAGAATTTCGAGAACACCCTGAAGACCTGTACTCCGCTCCAAAACCCAGCAGCTCTGAAGCCACCAAACCTGACGAGGCCAACCAGGCCCAACACCCTCGATCTAAGAACCCCGGCAGCATGCAACTCCTTATCCCCAAATCCGTTCAGGTTTTTTTTAAGAAAACCTTTGCACTCCGAACCCCTGATCACCAAATCCTTTTTTTTCAGAAAGCGTCACCCTCAGGGCCCGGTGTGTAAACAACGTTGTAAAATCAGCATAAGAACGTATGTTTATTCGAGAAAAGCTGGCCCTCACGCCGACGCACTTTTCTTGTTCAAAAAACCTTTGCATTCCGAACCCCTTATCCATCCCCAAATCCGCTTAGGGACCCCCAAGAAAAGCGCTCGTCCAAGGCCGGTGCCATGCTTTGCATGAAGATGACGAAATCCTCTGAAGGCTCGTAGGGTTTAGGGTTTAGGGTTTAGGGTTTAGGGTCGTGTGCTGCGAGGTTTCCCGGACATTGGGTGGAGGGCGGAAGGCTTCGAGATAGTAAGGTTATGCATTTTTCGGGGGGGGGGTACGAGAATATCCCGTATGGTAAGGTTATAGGACTTTTTTGGGAGGTGCGAGAATATCCGTTAAAGTAACCCCTATACTCAACATTGGATAATGTAGGCTACGTCATGGGACAGGATCACCCAGTGAATAACATATATGGGGAATCCTGACCTACAACCCAACCCTACACCGCCCAAGCTGATTTGACACCCCGACAACACCCTCACCCCCTAAAATTGCATGAAGTTTTTTCTAAAACTTGCACCCCTGAAACGTAAAGCCTTAACGCTTAAAGTTGTAAGCCCCTTAGAGCCTTGAGGGTTGAGGATCCCTAACCCCTCCTAGCCCTAAACCCTAAAGGTCGGGTCCCTAAACCTCGATCCCTAAACTTTCAAAACCCTAAACTCTTAAACGGCCCTAAACCCTGCTGACCCCAAGCCCCAAGCTTGTTTTTTTCAAAACTCTATACTCCTAAACGGCCCTAAACCCTACAGACCCCAAGCCCTAAACTTTCAAAAACCCTAAACTCCTGAACGGCCCTAAACTGTATACCCTAAACCTTCAAGCCCTAAACTCCCAAACGGCCCTAAACCCTGCGTACATCAAATCCTAATCTTTCAAGGGCTGTCCTTGGCAGAGAGCCGGGCCTGACACCAGGAGCTCTCGAGCTTCTTCCAGTCGGCCTGGCTGCCCTACGAGCCGGGCCAGCCATCTGTTCTCAGAGCAAAAAAGGACAGTAGAGAGAAAGAGAGGGAGAGAGAGAGAGAGAGACACAGAGACAGAGACAGGGAGGGACCATCCGGTTGCATCGTGTCTGGTTATTCAGATGGTGGTTGTCCTTTGTTCAGGTGCAAAGGCAGTCTCACACGCCCGCAATGAGCAGAGCCCGCTCGCTCAGCGTCCAATAATAATTGTTGTTGTTGTTGTTGTTGTTGTTGTTGTTGTTGTTGTTGTTGGTGTTGGTGTTGTTGTTGTTGTGGTTGTTGTTGTTGTTCCCAAAGGGTCCAAAGTACCGATATAGAAGAATGTAGGGTTTCTATATTAGGAATTACTATTATGATTTGGGGAAGTATTCCCCACAACAGTACATAGGACCCTTTGGGGTTGTTGTTGTTGTTGCTGTTGTTGTTGTTGTTGCTGTTGTTGTTGTTGTTGTTGTTGTTGTTGTTGTGTTTTTCTTCAGCGGCCGGCCTTGACTCGACGGTGTTTTCACCGGAGGGCATTGGGATTTAGGGTGTAGGGTTTGGTTTAGGGTTTAGGGTTTAGGGGTTAATTTAGGGTTTAGGGTTTAGGGTGTCAGGTTCAGGGGTTGAGGGGTTCGGAGTTCAGGGGTGCCGGGTGGGTGTGTCCTGTGGCTCTGGATCTAGGAACCTTTTGCGGTCGCTGCGACAACAGTGCCGTTCTGACGTGTTACCAAATTCGGGCTTCGTTAGGACGTCGATGATTAGGGTCACCCGGACCTTCAAATTCAAGTTTGCTTGAGAGCCATCCGTCCTACTTATAGTATAGGATCAAAGTTCGGACGCCTTCCTTCGTGCTCCAAGCACGATGTAATACATAGTAGTACATAGTGCAGCACACCGACCGTGGTTAGAAAGGTCCCTTTTTGGGTCCCTACTCTAGTACGGCACCTATTGCTTAGAGTAGCCAAAAAGGGACCCTCATTTTGACAACTACCCATAGGTATCTTCAGCGGCGGAGTAGGGGGGAGCAGGGGACTTGGGGCATAGAGTGTATGATACTAAGGAACCCTACAAATTCTGCCTAGGGTTGAAGGTTTAGGTTTACTGGGATGGGCTTTGGCAGCCCTGAAAATTATTTATGGATCCGGGCTGTTTTTGTGCATCCATGTGAATGCAACACCAAGCAGCAATCACTCACTCTTTTTCTCCCGCGATCATGTGGAATGTGAACAGTGGTAACAAGAAACAATGCGACACTGACACTGGCAGCTCAGACGATGGTGGCCTGCAGGAGCAGGCAGAAACCAAAATCTGGCGTGACACTCTGACAATGGAAGCATTTGACACTCATTCTGTGTGGCCAGTACAATAACACACCCAATGCGCACCCCTCCATGCCTGCTCAAAGTTGACACTGATTTCCAGCTGGTAGGCCTGACATAATAGAAACACGTGACACTCATTCTGTGTGGCCAGTACAATAACGCACCCAAGACGCACCCCTCCATGCCTGCTCCAAGTTGACACTGATCTCCAAGACGAAGGCCTGCCATAGTGGATGCATTTGACACTCATTCTGTGTGGCCAGTACAATAACGCACCCAATACGCACCCCTGCCTGCCTTGTCACAGTTGACACTGATCTCCAGCTGGTAGGTGTGTCAACTTTGAGCACGCATGGAGGGGGCCTATTGGGTCCCAACACACACCCTCCATGCCTGCTCAAAGTTGACACTGATGTCCAGCTGGTAAGCCTGACATTAAGGAGCAATTGACCGGCCAGGACAATAACGCACCCAATACGCAAACCTGCCTGCCTTCTCCAAGTTGACACTGATGTCCAGGAGGAGGACCTGACTTTAATGGATTGACACTCATCGACATCCACTGCACCGTAACTGCTTGTCGACATGGTGACACTTGGCAGAGGAATCATCAACCAAAACAGAGTAGCACCAGCCAGGCGGCGAGCGGCTCATTCAGACCTTGACTCTTCGAGCAGCTTGACGGTCTGTCAAACTGCTCGAGGAGTCAAGGTCTGAGAGAGCCAGCTGACACTTCATTCCATGACAAAGCAGACGGTAAGCCTGACATAACGGAATCACTTGACACTCGTTCTGTGTGGCCAGTACACTAACGCACCGAACACGCACCCCTCCATCCGTGCCTTCTCTAAGTTGACACTGATGCCCAGGAGGAAGACCTGACTTTAGTGAACTGTCGTCGACATGGTGACACTTGGCAAACTTAAAGGTATCATCAACCAAAACAGAGTCATAGCACCAGCCATGCGGCGAGCGGCTCATTCAGACCTTGACCACTCGAGCAGCTGGACGGTCTGTCCAACTGCTCGACGAGTCAAGGTCTGAGCGAGCCAGCTGACACTTCATTCCATGACAAAGCGAATGGTAAGCCTGACATAATGGAAACATGTGACAATCATTCTGTGTGGCCAGTACAATAACGCACCCAATTCGCACCCCTCCATGCCTGCTCAAAGTTGACACTGATTTCCACCTGATAGGCCTGACATAATGGAAGCATGTGACACTCGTCATTCTGTGTGGCCAGTACAATAACGCACCCAATTCGCACCCCTCCATGCCTGCTCCAAGTTGACACTGATTTCCAGCTGGTAGGCCTGACATAATGGAAGCATGTGACACTCATTCTGTGTGGCCAGTACAATAACACACCCAATGCGCACCCCTCCATGCCTGCTCAAAGTTGACACTGATTTCCAGCTGGTAGGCCTGACATAATAGAAACACGTGACACTCATTCTGTGTGGCCAGTACAATAACGCACCCAAGACGCACCCCTCCATGCCTGCTCCAAGTTGACACTGATCTCCAAGACGAAGGCCTGCCATAGTGGATGCATTTGACACTCATTCTGTGTGGCCAGTACAATAACGCACCCAATACGCACCCCTGCCTGCCTTGTCACAGTTGACACTGATCTCCAGCTGGTAGGTGTGTCAACTTTGAGCACGCATGGAGGGGGCCTATTGGGTCCCAACACACACCCTCCATGCCTGCTCAAAGTTGACACTGATGTCCAGCTTGTAAGCCTGACATTAAGGAGCAATTGACCGGCCAGGACAATAACGCACCCAATACGCAAACCTGCCTGCCTTCTCCAAGTTGACACTGATGTCCAGGAGGAGGACCTGACTTTAATGGATTGACACTCATCGACATCCACTGCACCGTAACTGCTTGTCGACATGGTGACACTTGGCAGAGGAATCATCAACCAAAACAGAGTAGCACCAGCCAGGCGGCGAGCGGCTCATTCAGACCTTGACCACTCGAGCAGCTGGACGGTCTGTCAAACTGCTCGAGGAGTCAAGGTCTGAGAGAGCCAGCTGACACTTCATTCCATGACAAAGCAGACGGTAAGCCTGACATAACGGAATCACTTGACACTCGTTCTGTGTGGCCAGTACACTAACGCACCGAACACGCACCCCTCCATCCGTGCCTTCTCTAAGTTGACACTGATGCCCAGGAGGAAGACCTGACTTTAGTGAACTGTCGTCGACATGGTGACACTTGGCAAACTTAAAGGTATCATCAACCAAAACAGAGTCATAGCACCAGCCAAGCGGCGAGCGGCTCATTCAGACCTTGACAGCTCGAGCAGCTTAACGGTCTGTCAAACTGCTCGAGCTGTCAAGGTCTGAGCGAGCCAGCTGACACTTCAGCCATGACAAAGCGAATGGTAAGCCTGACATAATGGAAACATGTGACACTCATTCTGTGTGGCCAGTACAATAACGCACCCAATTCGCACCCCTCCATGCCTGCTCCAAGTTGACACTGATTCCACCTGATAGGCCTGACATAATGGAAGCATGTGACACTCGTCATTCTGTGTGGCCAGTACAATAACGCACCCAATTCGCACCCCTCCATGCCTGCTCCAAGTTGACACTGATTTCCAGCTGGTAGGCCTGACATAATGGAAGCATGTGACACTCATTCTGTGTGGCCAGTACAATAACGCACCCAATTCGCACCCCTCCATGCCTGCTCCAAGTTGACACTGATTTCCAGCTAGGCCTGACATAATGGAAGCATGTGACACTCATTCTGTGTGGCCAGTACAATAACGCACCCAATTCGCACCCCTCCATGCCTGCTCCAAGTTGACACTGATTTCCAGCTGGTAGGCCTGACAGAATGGAAGCATGTGACACTCATTCTGTGTGGCCAGTACAATAACGCACCCAGACGCACCCCTCCATGCCTGCTTCAAGTTGACACTGATTTCCACCTGATAGGCCTGACATAATAGAAGCATGTGACACTCATTCTGTGTGGCCAGTACAATAACGCACCCAATTCGCACCCCTCCATGCCTGCTCCAAGTTGACACTGATTTCCAGCTGGTAGGCCTGACATAATGGAAGCATGTGACACTCATTCTGTGTGGCCAGTACAATAACGCACCCAAGCACCCCTCCATGCCTGCTTCAAGTTGACACGCCTGACCATGTGACACTCATTCGTGTGGCCCAATAAGCACCCATTCGCCCCCTCCATGCCTGCTCCAAGTTGACACGATTTCCAGCTGGTAGGCCTGACATAATGGAAGCATGTGACACTCATTCTGTGTGGCCAGTACAATAACGCACCCAATTCGCACCCCTCCATGCCTGCTCCAAGTTGACACTGATCTCCAGCTGGTAGGCCTGACAGAATGGAAGCATGTGACACTCATTCTGTGTGGCCAGTACAATAACGCACCCAATTCGCACCCCTCCATGCCTGCTCCAAGTTGACACTGATTTCCAGCTGGTAGGCCTGACATAATGGAAGCATGTGACACTCATTCTGTGTGGCCAGTACAATAACGCACCCAATTCGCACCCCTCCATGCCTGCTCCAAGTTGACACTGATTTCCAGCTGGTAGGCCTGACATAATGAAACATGTGACACTCATTCTGTGTGGCCAGTACAATAACGCACCCAAGACGCACCCCTCCATGCCT